TCTCCATTCCATCGAGCTCCTCCTTGGTCTGGCGGCATTTCTTCTTTACCATTCAAGTGGCGCCATGGTCTGGTGTGGCAGGCCTAGCCAGGACCTGGGCCAGAAGGACGCCTGTCCGCCTGCAGTCTTGGGTTCTCCCCCCGTCGGCACACTGGCGATGACTAAACCCTGCGCTGCAGTGTAAACCCTGGTGTGCTGGCGTATCTTGCTAACCTGTTGCTGAATACTGACGTACTTAGGTACACAGCCACCTGTACATAACACAGACACTTTGACTGTTGACTTTCTGGCCAAGGTTCTTTACTGTAAAAATGATTGCTAATTTTGTTTTCATCTGAGTTAATATTCCTTGGCTTTGTTGCTTATCTATACGATGATTCCACCCACCAAGGTGGCTTCAACAGTGTAAACGATAGAGAGTTACTTACCTTCATCCACTCGTATGTTATGCTGAGCCCTTTGGGACTCTGTATTTGGTGGCAGCAGAACTTGGGGGAGTCACAGCCACCTGTCTGCCGTTAACATGAGTAACGACATAATAAGCACAAGGCAGGTGGAACTGGTGGTCTCTGTGTTTCCTCTTTTCTCCTTTGTGGAAACAATTCTTTTCTAGCTGTTTTGCAACTTTTGACTGTTTTTATGTTGGGACGTTTATCAGTCAGTAACACTTAGCGGCCACACAGAGGGTAGATTTTATTTTTCTGTCAGGAATAGTGTAACAGTAGTAATTAGAGGATCTGCGACCTTCCGTCATTCCAGAAGAGGCTTAAGGGGTCCTAACTGAAAACCCCATGGAGCTGCTTCTGCATCTGGTCTGTGGCTTCCAGGTGGTACCCGGTTGATGGGACGTGCTGTAGTCAGGGTCTGGGCTGACTCACCTTCAGACCTTGTGGGAAACGTCAAGATGATGAGTTGGTCCACATCTCTTGTGCTTTCAGAAGGTCACGTTGGTACTGTGCACAGTGCTTTAGAAGTTAGGAAACAACACTATTAATTTTGCTTATGCAACCTTGTATGAGGAGTAAATGGAACCCAGAATTTGGGTAATTGGAGAATGGGCCTCACTGGATTTAAATAAGATGGGTTAAGGAAGCCTTAGATTTAAGAGTGAGTGAAATTTCTTTGAAAAGTAGTCAGCCGTCTGGAATAAATAGAAGCTTCCGAAGAGTTTACACACTTAACTTAATCATGC